ACGCACTCACACACACACACACACACACACTCACTCACTCACTCTCGCACACACACTCACTCACTCTCGCACACACACACACACACACACACACACACACTAAATTTGGTGTAATAAATTTACATCTTAGGCACACAGGATGAATAGAGATGCAGTTTTCACTGATTTAGGATTAACAGAGCTTTAGATAGTTTCCATGTACTTGTCTAGATCAACTCTGAATAAAGAAAAGAGGTTTAGAGCCAGTAAGTGAAACCTAGCTAGCATGAAACAAATTAAGTTAGATTTTCCTATATTCTCTTTTGAGCAGTCAAACAATCCAAAGAAAACGTCGCATTACGAGAGAAAGAGAAGTCACTTACAAAATGAGATTGGATGAACATAAAAAACAACTATAAAGATAACTATAACAAGAAATATAACTACAAAGGTTTAATAACCACTCCAACTCTAGAGAAGAGTGAAGTTCACCACAACTATAATAACGTTGGCTTGACTTAAAAGCTCAAATATAATAAAGTTTTCATTTGAGCCATGTTTATTTGAGCAATACACAACATCCATTTTTGTAACTTCAGCGCTTTTATAAAACCTAAAATTGAGAAAAATGTGTAATTACGTGGAAAGGTTTGACAGCCCCGTTGACAAAAAAAACGAAACGATATAAACCATCAGAGTTTGTAATGGCTTTACAGGTTATAATAGGAATTGTACTGATTTTGGAAACTGTATGGTTTCTGTTCGTCGCCTTCTATTGGTGGCTTGTTAAAACCACTAAATCTTAATGAAATATGTCCCAAACACACTCTACAGGAAACCATTTTTAATGGTTATAAGTTGATGGTTTGTGGTATTCGTAGTGGAAAGCATTAGAATTTCTGTGATGGTTCTATTGTTGTTATATTTTTCCAGCAGGGAGGTAGCGTCACATGGCCACATTTCCCAAAACTTTCCACTTTTCTGTAAGCAAACAGTGTCGATTATCGTCCAGAAGGGGGCAGGTTTTATCCTGGCGCTCTTCAGGAGTTCACTCGAGAGCTGGAAGAGAAACTGGAGGAGCAGAACTTGTGGAGATGATCAGACTGGAGCCGCAGCACATCATTTCATCATCTCATCATTCAGCAGAGCGTCGCGATGATGCTGCGCGTTTTATTCGCTCTGATTGTGTTCGCCGGCTCCGTTCAGGCGGATAAACGCGCGGCGGATATGAAGACGAGCCTGATGCAGTCACCATCATCATCATCATCATCCTCAGCGCTGGAGCTGAACGCCTCCGCAACGCATCGCGGTGATGATGAAGATGATGGAGATGGAGACGCGCGCGCGTCGAGAGTCCCGCGCGGCTCCAAACACAAGCAGCAGCGCGAGCGGAACGCGCACCGAACCCCGCGACCGCATCCTGACCCCGACGCGTTCTTCACCACGCCGCGAGCGTTCAACGGCTCGCTACGCGTGCATAACCCGCTGTTCCCGCTCACGGAGGAGTCGTACAGCGCGTACGCCGTCATGCTGCTCGCGCTCATCGTGTTCTCCGTGGGCATTGTGGGTAACCTGGCGCTCATGTGCATCGTGTGGCACAACTATTACCTGAAGAGCACGTGGAACTGCGCGCTGGCCAGCCTGGCGTTCTGGGACTTCACGGTGCTGTTCTTCTGCTTACCAGTGGTCATCTTCAACGAGCTGACCAAGAGACGACTGATGGGAGATCTGTCCTGCAGGATAGTGCCATACGTGGAGGTGTGTGACCAATCAAATCAGCAATCAGTCAGTTAATTAGGCAACCAATCAGGCAGTCTGTTCATATGTGACCCTGGAGCACAAAACCTGCCATAAGGACCAATTTTGTGAAATTGAGATTTATGCATCAGCTGAAAGCTGAATAAATAATATTTCCATTGATGTATGGTTTGTTAGGATAGGACAATATTTGGCTGAGATACAACTATTTGAAAATCTGGAATCTGAGGGTGCAAAAAAATCTAAATATTGAGAAAATCATCTTTAAAGTTGTTCAAATGAAGTTCTTAGCAATGCATATTACTAATCAAAAATTAAGTTTTGATATATTTACGGTAGGAAATTTACTAAATATCTTCATGGAACATGATCTTTACTTAATATCCTAATGATTTTTGGCATAAAAGAAAAATGGATAATGTTGACCCATACAATGTATTGTTGGCTATTGCTACAAATATACCCCAGCGACTTAACACTGCTTTTGTGCTCCAGGGTCACAAATGTATAATATACACGCATCTGTCTGTCAAGAAATATGTTCTAAGAACGTTTTGAAATGTAACTTTTAAAAATGTACAAACGTCCAGCATTCAGGGAACATTCAGAAGTAACGTTCCCATAATGTTTGTAAAATGATCAAATAGAATGTTTGAATAACCAGTAATTTTTTTTAGAACATTAACGGTGTGATTGTTCCGAGAACATTCAGAAATAGAGCTTTGCGGCAACATTAGCAAAACGTTCATACAGCATACGTTTTCTATCAAAAACCAAATTAACATGGTACCATGTCTAAGAAACACATTACCACATTACTTTTTTTAAGTGAACAGACTAAATAATTTTTCCCATACTTAATACCGAATTGTAAGAAAACTAGCCGTCATAATCAATCAGAGTCGGTGTGTGGCATTGTGGGTAGTTTCTTGAGTTCATTTTCCAGCCTCCTCTTTACAGCACCAGTTCTCCTGATTGTCATGTAAACGAGATCTCCGGGTAATTAGCGGCACTAATTGGGCCTATTAGCGTGTTGAATGAGTGTTTAGAGTGTGTTTTAAGGGCAGGATTGTCTGCGGAGAGTGTTTGCCTGTCTATTGACCCACTTCTGTGGCCCTAAAACATTTTATTAGACAGTAGTAAATTAACATATTAGATTAGATGCAAATCAAATCAACATTCTGTATAATATGCACCGTCACTTGGGAACATCAACCCTTATTTATATCACACTTACTGACTGGTGATGGCGTAAAATGGTAAAATCGTGGTACTTTAATATATATACCATAGTATTGAATGATTGCATATTCATATACCATGGTACTTAGATGGTTTTCCAATGTATTTCAAAGAATACCTTGGTACTACATAGTATATGCTCAAAAAAATGTGTATATGTGTCCAAAAACAGTGTATCACCATTGAATATATTCAAAAACATACAGTAATCACGGTATCCAAAATCATGGTATTACTCTGGCAGATGTCCAAAAATCGTGGTTTTTACCATGGTATAAGTCCAAAATCATGGTATCAGTAGATAGCAGAAAAAAAACATGGTATGACCATTGTACATGTCCAAAAAACATGGCTTTGCCATGGTACATGTCCAAAAAAAAATGGGATGACCATAGTACTGTAGATGTAGATTTCCTAAAAACATGGTATAACCATAGTAAATATCCCCAAAGATGTGTTTTTACCATTGTATATGTTCAAAAACATAGCATTACCATGATAGACATCCAAAAAGGAGTGGTATCACCATGGTAAATGTCAAAAAAAAAAACATGTCAGCGTAGTAGAGATCCAAAAAACATGGTATCACCATGGTAAATGTAAAGAAAAAGTTTTTATCATTGTACATGTCCAAAAACATGGCATCACCATAGTAAATGTCTAAAAAAACATGATGTCACCTTAGTAGACATCCATAAAAAAAGAAGAAAAAAAAAGGTTTTAGCATTATACATGTCCATAAAACATGGTATCATCATGTTAAATGTCCAAAAAAAAGTGGTATCGCCATGGTAAATGTCTAAAAAAAATGATGTCATCATAGTAGACATCTAAAAATGTGGTATTACCATGGTAAATGTAAAAAAACATGGTATTACCATAGTCGATGTCAAAAGAAACATGATATCGCCATGGTAAATGTAAAAAAACATGGTATTACCATAGTCGATGTCAAAAGAAACATGATATCGCCATGGTAAATGTAAAAAAACATGGTATTACCATAGTCGATGTCAAAAGAAACATGGTATCGCCATGGTAAATGTCTAAAAAAACATAACGCCACCTTAGTAGACATCCATTAAAGAAAATGGACCATAACTATACGTTTTACCATTATACATGTCCATAAAACATGGTATCATCATGGTAAATGTCCAAAAAAAATGTATCACCATGGTAAATGTAAAAAACATGGTATTATCATAGTAGATGTCAAAAGAAACAATATCACCATGGTAAATGTAAAAAAAAATAGTTTTACCATGGTACATATCCGAAAACAAAGAATGACCTTTTACATGTAAAAAAACACAATTTTACAATGCTCTGCTCAAAAATGTAGTAGGCTACTACCATAGTTAACTGTATTGTACCATAGGTAAGTGTAGTCATAGTCATGTGATTTCGTGTCAGTCTGACGAGTGTTTGTTGACGTGTCTTTCAGGTGACGTCTCTCGGAGTGACCACGTTTACTCTGTGCGCGCTCAGCATCGACCGCTTCCACGCGGTGACCAGCGTTCAGACGCGGCCGCAGCAGGTCGAGTCCTGTCAGTCCATCCTGGCCAAGCTGTCGGTGATCTGGGTGGGATCTCTGGTTCTGGCCGCTCCAGAGCTGCTGATGTGGCGTCTGGAGCAGGAGGTGTCTCCGCGGACAGGTCTGCCGGTGGACTCCTGCGGTCAGCAGCCATCCGTGACGCTGCCGGAGACGCTGTACTCGTTGGTGCTGACGTACCATCAGGCCAGAATGTGGTGGACCTTCGGATGTTTCTTTTGCTTGCCGCTGCTGTTCACCGGCGCGTGTCAGCTGCTCACGCGACACGTCGCGGACGAGAACGCCAAGAGCATTCGTCCGTCGTCTTCGTCGTCTTCCGCATCTTCGTCTCCGAAGAAGAAGCAGCGGCGAGAGCGTCAGCTGACCCGCACGGTGGTGGCGCTGGCTTCCGTTTACGCCATTTGCAGTTTGCCGGAAAACGTCTGGAACTTCGTTCTGGCTTACTCGGGCGTGGAGGTGGGCGTGGCCACGCGGGCTCTCCTCGCTCTGATTGGCCAGTTCCTGTTGTTCGTGCGGGCGGGAGCGACGCCCATTCTGTTGCTCTGCATCTGTCGCTCTCTCGGCCAGGCGTTCATGGACTGCTGCTGCTGCTGTTGCGACGAGTGTCTTCCGGATCCTTCGTCGTCGACGACATCTTCGTCTTCGTCCACTAACGCTACGGCTGTCTCCTCGTCCCTGTCTTCGCCCGTCTCCGTCCAGGAGGAGAAGCTGAAGATCGTGTCGGGAACGTCGCCCGCGGTGTTCTTCGATAAAGTGAAGGATGGTCCGACCGAGCTGATCATCGGAACGCCGTGTTGATCTCGGAACGTCGGCATCAGTGTCCGTTAAAACTGTGAACGAATCCATCGTTAACACACTTAAAGGGACAGTTCACACAAAAATTATCATTCTGTTGCCATTTAAATGTTCCAAACCTGTTTTATTTTGTGTGCAGAACACAAACAAAATTTTATTAAATTATTGCAATACTTAATTAAATTAAAAATATTATAGAATAAAAATGATATAAACGACAGAATGATCATGCCGTCACTCACCGCTGGATGAGGAGCGTTAAATGCAGAAACGCAATTTCCTGTTCCTTCGTCTACATCCAATCACAATCTTGTTTTCTCTTGATCACGTTTAGTGATTTTTAAAATGCTCGATTAGTTGCTGTATTTCAGTCTGTACGTCTGTTTCTTTATAGATCCATCACTTCTACACTACAGAAATACAAATTGTGAACTTTATTGTATTTCATTGGAATTAATAACTAATATTTTGTTTATCCGTAAACATTGTACTGCTGGATGGACAGTTGCGGCAAACTTGAAAACAGTGTATTTTTATGCACTTAATTAATTTCTATCTTTAAATTGTCAATGTTTAAAAATGAAAGTATGTTTTGGAAAAGCAGAAATCGTCTTTTCGGATCAACCTTTATAAGTTTTGAAGAAGAAATTTTGTTTTATTGAGTCTGTCTCACATATCAAAGACTGTCTGATTCGCTGCTGGAATTAAACGACTTGTGCCCGTTTACAAACTCTAAGCAGAGACAAACGACTCTACGAACTATGAGGAAATACTGAAAAAACTTTGCAACTTTAACACGTTAGATAGTAATGATTATAATAGCAAAGTGAACCGATGTAGATTGTTAGGATCAAATCTTTTGTATTTCTGTTATTTGGTACTCTGTTGCAGCCAATAAAAGTTTCAAAGAGTTTGAATAAGTCGCAAACTTTGTATAAACTCTGTTTTACACACATAAGCGCTTAAAGGATTTGTACTTATGTGACCTGTCTGTGTGAAAGAATTGGAGACACAGTTGAACTGCTGTCTCTTGGCCGTTGTTGATACCAATGATTTTCCTCCTACAGTAGATTCTCAGGAGGAGTCGTGGAGGCCCATAAGGCCCATATTGTTCCCGAGCCGCGGCCCCCTAATGATTATAATAGCAAAGTGAACCGATGTAGATTGTTAGGATCAAATCTTTTGTATTTCTGTTATTTGGTACTCTGTTGCAGCCAATAAAAGTTTCAAAGAGTTTGAATAAGTCGCAAACTTTGTATAAACTCTGTTTTACACACATAAGCGCTTAAAGGATTTGTACTTATGTGACCTGTCTGTGTGAAAGAATTGGAGACACAGTTGAACTGCTGTCTCTTGGCCGTTGTTGATACCAGTGATTTTCCTCCTACAGTAGATTCTCAGGAGGAGTCGTGGAGGCCCATAAGGCCCGTATTGTTCCCGAGCCGCGGCCCCCGCGCTGAATATCAATAGCGGCCCCTGAGCGGTTGCTACGCGACTGTCACACGCCAGCTTTCGGCATTCAGACTCCAAACAGCGGCAGACCAGAAACAGATGCAACATTCTCTCGGATCGCCGGTTGTCGTGGAGACGGGACCCTCGCGTTGATGTGGGTAACACGGAGGGGCTGTTCCGCGGGAAGAATGGGGTAACAAGTAATCTAGGGTGGATTAAACGCTCTGCGCTGTCATGAACTTTACAGAATGAGGTCAAGAGTGTGTTCTACACATTCAGGGAGGTTTTTAAAAAGAAGTATCTGTAGCTGATTCTTGGGGAACGGTCTTTCGAAGTTTGTCGTGTGGTAACAAACCTCAGAACACAAGGGGTGACGAAATTTCCTTAAAAAGTTTTTCCGTTATACCAGATGATATTCAGGTAGCTACATATAAACAGTTTATGCAAGTTTACAAAACTTCATCAGAAAGTGAAAACCGGCCATAGAACAGTTTCCACAACAGCGCCCCTTGTGGTCAAATTGTGTAAGATGTCAGAAATAAATATATTTTAAAAGTTTACAATTATTAAATGTTCAATACTATTATATGTCAAATTAAAATACTCGTAATCAGACTACGGTTACTTTTTTATGGATTACATGATTACATATTTACACAATGGCAATAAATTATCGTAATGTAAATTTTCCCTTCTAAAATAGCCTTCCACTTTTATACACTCAGAATGTCTTTCAGTTTTGTGGACATTCAAAATTTCAAACAGATTAAAATGCAGTTTCACAAACTTTTTTTGTCATCTGATCCTCGTTCACCTAATTTATTTATATTTGAAGTATCCCTGAGATTTTTAAATAAATATATTAATAATGAAGTATCACATCTGCATGTTCATTGGTTCTTTGATGTTGTTTATGGTCACATGACATGCAGGTAAACAAATTTAACATTTTTATGATTTCAATAATTATTAGCTTTTCATTAAACTCATAAACCCCCTGCAGTTTCTTCACAAACCCAGTTTGGGAAACCGTGACGTATAAACTGTGTTGAAGAGATTTAATCTTATTTAATAATTAATCAGAGAAGTATTTGTATGTCTATTCTGCCCTCTGCTGGTGAAGTTAAAGACTTGTCTACTGCTCTCTGTTTAGTGCACAGTATATTTTACTACACAGTCCTATTTTTTTTAAAGGTAAGTTGAGCACATTGCATTGTGGGATACGGTATAATTGTATATCATTAAGTATTCCATAAGTACAGAAAATTAAACATGGGGCACAGTACATACTATATACTGCAGTAATACAGTATGATAGTATGTTATTCTGAATGCTACTTTTCTCATCACATTAAAGTCAAAACCACCATATTAAACAAAAGTTTAACATTAAAAAGTTAACATTTTCTCGTTTATTTTAAAACGAATTTCATGAAGTACATTTTTGTCCAGTGAGTATCACTGAATTAGACCTGAAATCAAAACGGCATCGGCTTAAAGAAAGAACAAACCGTGGTTCTGAGAGGGAAATCGTTTAATTTCATTTTTAAATAATCTGTAAATAACAAGAACAACATGTACAATCACCGCGAGCACGAGAGAATAGAAAGATCCCAAATGAACAACTGAACTGATCGAGTCTGGTACGGAAACACCTGTTATGTTACTGCTTTAAAAAGTTACTTTATATATACCATATAAAGAGGGGGGGGGGCATCATCGAGCTCGGTCCAATCACACGCTGATTATACAGTAACTATGGCAACCAGCTCCATCCCATAATGAAGTCATGCAGGGGGGGAAAATCACACGACTCCCCAGCAAACAAAAGAGCGCGGCACTGCTACAAACAATATCAAAACAAACATTATGGCCACACGTAATTAGACATAAAAAATAATTCAATCAACACGCATACAGAAGACGATAAGAGCCCGGATGAGCTCATGTCCACGATGAACTGACGACAGGAGTGAACATGAGCTCCAACAAGAGCAGCAGAAAAACCAACGTTCTGCGATCAGCGTTGAATCGAGTAACGCAACACGACAAAGTGACAATCGGACCGTCATAATCCACAAAGTGCTCCACACTGCACACTTCATTAACAAAGCTGAAGACGACTTCATAAGTGACTTTGACCAAGTCATTTACGAACCTAACAAAGTCACGTAACATTTGGAATCCACTTTGTCAACAAACTTCGTAAAATGATGTCGTTATAATCAACAAAGTTGGCTTGGTTAGACTGACTTCTTAGCGACTTTTGCAAATCATTTTCAACAAAGTCATTTATGAACTCGATGTTACACAACTAAGTTGTGCGCTACTAGGTTGACTTTGAAAAAGACTTCGTATAATCAACAAAGTTGACTTCATTAGGTTGACTTTGTAAGTGACTGTTACGAAGTTGACTTTGACAAAGCCATTCATGAACCTAACAAAGTCACATAACAAAGTTGTGCAATTCAATTGCTATCAAAGTCAATTAAGAACATAACTTCATAAGGATGACTTCATAAATGTTGTTAAAATCAACAAAGTAAACTTCATTAGACTTGACTTCAGCAATGTCAACTTCAACAAAGGCATTTACGAACTTGATCTTACACAACTAAATTGTGCGAAAACCACTTTGCCGTGAATCATGAATGTAACTTAGGTTGACTTCGCAAATTACTTCGTCAAAATCAACTTTGTTACATCGGCTTCATTATACGAATGCTGTCTATGTTGCAAGTTCACAACTTTGTTGCATAACTAAAAGTTGACTTCGTAAATAACTGCTATTGTCAACAAAGCTGTTTGCGTCACTTTTCAACGACAGTTGTATTGTAGTAAAAACACCTTTTGTAACTATGGTTATCATTGTAACTAGACACGAACTTCGTAACATCAATGTTGACTCTGTAACATGACTTCGTAACCAGTGCAACAGTGTTGATTACCGCCATTTTGTCGCATTGCGTCGTTCACTCTTGTGTAGACGATGAACTAATGACAATCAAACATTAGTGAAGATGAATATAAAGTGATTAGCAATTGCGAAAAATCAACAGAATAAACCTTCGGCATTTATAAAGTAAATATTACTCTAGTCTACATGACGGCATCCGTACACAAACACCATCGCTTACACACTCTCTCTCTCTCTCTCACACACACACACACAATCTGTTTGTTCAGATTGCTGTGATATGAGTGGGGTCTTCTTTGTTATTATTATCGTTATTATTATCATAGGATGCTAATCACAATAAGACAAACACCGTAATGCTCAGGAGGGAGATCTCATTTGGTTTAAGTTGCTATTTACATAATCCAGTTGAAACACACTGTGAAAAAACATGAGTAAAAACATGCCAAAAACAACTGAAATGTGTCAATTTACATATGTATAATCTACCGACACGTTTATAAACCGTTATGATTTAGGCCAAAAACGTACACACGTGCGACAAAACGAAACAGGCTGTAAATGAAATAAAGCGATAAAAATCACAAGATCTTCATCTCTCCCGATAGGAACAGCGTTCAGAAACAACAGGACTTCAGCAGGAGATTCACGCAACATTTGCCGCATCTACGCTGTTTTTATTAGCGCAATGATCTGCGGGTCCGACAGAGACAGATCAACATTTGTCGCCTGATACTGTATTGCATCCCGTCGAGAATCAAATAAAACACTGATGTTGCTCTGCACGCGCTCGCAGACTGACGTTCCTAAAAAAAACAAACAATGTGGTTGCCATGACAACCCACCCACGTCAACGATACAAC